CACGTCAGGCTGGGCACCAACCTGGCAAGCCAGGCAGCGGCAACCAACCAAACCAGCACCGGCCGTAACCCCAAGGGAGGCGAGCAGAGCGCGCTGGGGTCCCGGAATCTGAGCTCACCCTGCCTTGCCTGCCTGCCTGCCTGCCTGCCTGCCTGCCTGCCTGCCTGCCTGCCTGCCTGCCTGCCTGCCTGCCTGCGACCCTTTGTCGCCCCCAGACCGCTTTCCTTGTCCTTCTCGCCCTCGCCCTCGCCCTCGCCCTCGCCCTCGCCCTCGACCATCCCCTGTCGCTGTCGCTGTCGCTGTCGCTGTCGCCGCCGCCGCCGTCGTCGTCTTCGCAGCCAAGAATCAAGGAATCCTCACCACTCTCTCCTTCCCTTCACCGCTCACCACCATCCCCATCGCCTCGACCGCCGCCCGCCGCCCGCCGCCCTCGACCGGTCCCCCTGACCGCACGGACTGGTGCCCTGTTGCCTCGCCCCCAACCACGCTTGGCTGCATCGCCGCGACAGGAACCATCGATCGGTGCACGACCCCGGCTACGACCTCAAGACGGCGCGGCGCTACCTACAACGCCCTACCTGGCATACACGGACATACGGTAACGCCCTTGCCGGCTTCCAGACCAAGTCAATCGGTCCAGACGCGCACCTTGCCCGCGACGACTCCCAGCACGGCACGTACGCTCAGCACGGCGCCACACTCTGCCTCGAGCGGATCGGATCGGACCGCACCAGCTTGGCCGACGCGCGCTCGTCACGTCTCGCTACGTTGCTCCGACCCGCCCTTCCGCCTTCCGCCTTCCGCTGCCCGCTGCCCGCCGACGGCATCTGCCGAAAATGAAGTGGGTTGAAGCAGCCGCCGCAAACGTGCGCGGCCTGGGCCTAGCCGCCCCGCCTCGCTCCCACAGGCGCGCGCGCCCGTCGTCGTGGTGGGTCGCCGCGACCGCTCTCGTGTGCCTCGTGGGCTCGCTCGTCGGCGGCGTCGAGGCCCAGAACTCGGGCATCGGCGAGCCCTACATGCTGTGTGAGTAGCCTTGCTTGTTCGACGCCGGCGACCAGCTACTTGATACGCTGGTCTTCAGGTCGACCGACTGCGCTGCCCACTCACCACCTGCGTACTGACTCGTCCTCCCCTGCTGCCTCGGTCCCCACCACTTGCCCCGGCACGCGCCCCGCTCCGACCCGACAGACACGTCGTCGTCGGCCTACTGCAGCCCGCCCGAGGCGGTCCTCATCACCGCGCTCGACTTCCGCTTCTACAAGGAGAATTCCACCCTCGACTTTGACTTTGCCGCCGCCTCGGTGCAGGAGGACCTCGACGTCACCATCTCGATCGACATCAACGCCTACGGCATGGGCCTCTTCAGCCTCACCCTCGACCTCTGCCAGTCGATCCCCGTCCTCTGCCCGCTGCCCACCGCCAACTTCCACGGCCGCGGCACCTTCCCCGTGCCCCCCGACTTTGCCAGCAGCCTGCCCATGCTCGCCTTCACCGTGCCCAACCTCGAGGCCGTCGCCACCGTCCTCCTCACCGACTCGCGCCAGAACTCGACCGTCGGCTGCGTCCAGGCCACCCTCTCCAACGGCAAGTCGGTCTACCACTCCGAGGCAAAGTGGGCCGCCATCGGCGTCTTTCTCCTCGCCGCCGCCAGCTCCGTGCTGCACACCATCATCTCGCCCAGCCTCGGCGCCGCACAGTGGCGCGTCGTCGACGTCCTCAACGCCTGCCAGCACGTCGTCCTCGCCGCGCTCCTCAACCTCGAGTACCCGCAGGTCTACATCGAGTTTGCCCGCAACTTTGCCTGGTCCGTCGGCCTCCTCAACATTGGGCCCGTCCAGAGCTCCATCGAATCGACCAGGATGAAGACGGGCGGCGCCCGCAGCGGCACGTTCGGCAAGCTCCTCACCGCGCAGACCGGCAGGCGTTTCAACCCGTTCAGCAACGCCGCGCTGCAGCCTAATGGAGGAGGTGGTGGTGGTGGCGGCGGCGGTAGCGGGCTTGCCGGTGCTCTCGGCGGACTTGGCCTCTTCAGGTCGATGGCCTCGACCGTCGGTCCGGCGACGAGCGGCGCGGCCGCCGGCAACGCGACCTCTGTCCCGGACAATGTGGTGGCGCTGGCGCCCAGCAATGTCCTCAAGCTCGGCGCGCCGATTTGGTCCCACTTTGACGTCGCCACCGACGGCCTGCAGCGCCGCGCCGTCTACGCGCCCTACACGGGCCCCGGCGGGCAGATCCTGCAGACGTCGAGCGATGCGCAGCTGCCGCTGATCAGCACCAGCGGCGGGCCGTCGACCGTCGGCCTGAGCTACTTTGCCGAGCTCAACAACATTGCGCCGGACAGCGCCTTCCTGACGGTGCTGGTCAGCTTCGCCATCTTCTTTGGCTTCGTCGTGGCCGTCTGCCTCGCCGCCTACCTGGTGGCGGTGCTGGTCCGCCTCTTTACCCGCCCCGGTCGCCACCCGGGCCGCGTCGCCGACTGGAGCGCGCGCTTCACCCGCCCCGCCGAGTTCTTTGGCAGCTTCTGCCGCACCCTCTTTGCGCGCTTCATGCTGATGACGTGGGGCGTGCTGCTGGTGTTTGCCTTTTACCAGTGGCGCGCCGGCGACTCGTGGGTGCCGGACCTGCTGGCCGCCGTCTTCGTCGTCATCTACCTGCTCGGCATTGCGCTGCTCTACCTGCCGGCGTTCCGGTACGCGCGCCGCGGCAGCCGCGAGGACCTCTACTTTGGCGAGGCGCCGCCAACGGTGGCGAGCCCGGTCGCCCGCCGCCACGGCCCGCTGGCCCACCCGTACCGCCCGCGCTTCTTTTGGTTCACGCTGGTGCTGCTGCTGGCCGCCTTTGTGCGCGCCTGCTTCATCGGTTTCGGCCAGGGCAACAGCCACGGCCTGCGCCAGTCGATTGGGCTGGCGGCGACCGACGTGCTGCTGCTCGTCGTCCTGTGCATCTGCCGCCCGGGTCGCGACAAGACGTCGGATTTCGTCATGATCCTCCTCGTCCTCTTCCGCATCGTCAGCTGGGGCATCTGCATCGCCTTTACGCCCACGGCCGACGTCACCACCATCCCGAGGGTGATTGTGGGCTTTGCGCAGATCGTCGTCACGGGTCTGCCCATCATCTTCCTCTTCTTCCTCACCGTGTGGGACCTCTTCACGCCCTTCTTCCGGCGGCGGCAGTGGAGGTCCACCAAGGCGATGCGAGGCGCCGACGGAGGCATCTTGGACGAGAAGCACCAGCAGCAGCAGCCGCAGTACGCGTTCGGCAACGTCGGCGCGGGTGCGGGTGCGGGCGCGGGTGCGGGCGCCGCCTCGATGGCGGGCGAAAAGTCGCTCGGACACTCGAGCAGCAACGGCGACGACACCATGGTTCGACCCAGCTACTCGCCCAACAAGGAGGGCGATGCGCTCCACAAGCCGCTCGAGACGCGCGATGCCGATGCCACGCGCTTCGCCGCCGTCCCCGGATCGACCCAGCCACCCGCCACCACCACCACCACCACCACCACCACCACCGCGGGACAGCACCAGCCCTATCCCTCGGACGGCTA